GTGTGTGTGTGTGTGTGTGTGTGTGTGTGTGTGTGAGTGTGGTTTTCTTGGTGTGTGGCTTAGTGTTGTGTTAGAATCATTATTATACTCTTATACCTTTTGTTCTTTAATATTTTGAATAGTTTTTAGCTTTATTTTTTGTTTTTCATTTCAATGTTAAGTTTTGAAATGTTGTTGTATGCATTTGTCATTTTTATTTAATCTCTTTATTTTTCAAATGTGTATAGGTAGTATTTATAAAGTTTGAGCTTTTAGTTCTGGTACAAGTGTATGCTTCTGTTGTCCTCGTGTGTAAGTCGCTTTGGATAAAAGCCTCTAATAAATGACTAAATAAATAAAGTATGACCCGCTATACTACACGCCACAGCACTGATATCAGCTTCATGCTGAGCTGTTTCTCGTGCTAATGCATCGTGTGGCCAGCGCTGCTGACGCGCCTGAACACTTCCGCTTCCGTTACTATGACAACAGCGGGCGTCCGGTTTCCGAGCAACAGGAGGAGCCCACTGATCTATAATAGACAACATTATATAGATATTATATTAGATATAGATCCGTGTTCGTCCGGTAGCGCTGCTCGTAAAGCACTCATGGATCCCGCCTCTTCACCTGCGCTGGAAACAGACGCTCGTCTGAAGCTGAAAGTCGAACACAAACAGAAAAACGTGTTTGTAACGCAGCTGGAGGAGCACAGGTAACGTTACAGCGGTTCGTGTTACTGTAGGCTCGTTCACCGTCACTGACGCTTGCGCTTCTGTGCTGTTTTCGTCACGACAGAGAGCAGCTCGAGGAGCACATACAGCACATCCCGGTGATAGCGCAGGTGAGTGTTTGAGCGGCAGCTCTCTCAGGTGTGTGGGTTACCTGCGCGCGGTCTCTAACGCGGTGCTGAATGTGCTGCAGTCCTCCAGCGGGATCCTGGACACCGGCGTCCACACGCTGCAGACCACACTAGTCCTGAAGAAGCGCGCCGAGCTGGAGGCGGTGAACACACAGCTGATGGACACACGGCAGGAGGTTCAGGAGAGCATGAAGATCCTCCAGCAGAGACGAGCCGAGCTCCAGCACAGACACACGGAGGTGAGGAGCACACACACACACACACACACACACACACACCAGACTCCAGCACAGACACACGGAGGTGAGGAGCAGCTGACCCGGGTGTGTTAGGATTAATAAAACATCACTGCAATGATTGGTTTTCACTGTAGCCTACAGAAATATTAACCCCTATTATAATGGCTCTTCACATTATTTTGTACGTCCCCTGTGTATATTTAGTACAATGGAGTACAGCAAACATTTGGCAATCCCTCCACTAAATGATCTCTCTCTTCTATAATGTGTTATGAGAGCATTATGAGAAGATGTCTGACAGACTTCAGTGCTCCTCACACAGACGAAACAGAGAGCAACAAACTTCGAGAGGTTTGTGGAGGAGAACGAGGTGAAACGCCGCCGTGCGCTGAAGAGATTCCAGATGGAGAGACAGCAGAATGAAGTGAAGGAAGAGGAGAAAGCTGAACTCTCCAAACAACTCCAAGACTTACAAGCCAGGTAACCAGCCTCAGACCGCTGAGAGTCCACCCGTTTACTGATTACTGCTGTTACCAGTACACCATAAACTCCACCAAATACCATAAAAACACCTGAAACCTAAAAGTGTTATAGTGCAGATATAGTGCTCACGATCTGCTTTCTCTGTTCAACAGGCGCTTGTATTTACAAGAGCGAGTGAACAAACACAAGAAATTCGAGGAGTTTCTGATGAAGACTCTTGATTTACTTCCAGACAGTAAGAGCATCTGAACACGAAGACTCTTCAGGGCTTTTCTCTGCAGTCTTAAGCTCTGTCCCAATTCACCTACTTACATTATGCCCTAAAAGCATGTACTCTTTTGGTGAAGAAACGTACATACTTAAGTGTGTAGCAGAATAGCAGGCAAGCTTTGGGACGTTCTTCTTCATCATAACTCTGTTGCTTAGTTACGAGCATCCTGCGACTGTTAAACTGGCCTGTCAATCATCTCGTCACGGTCAACATCCTCCTCGTTTCCTTTAGTTTAATGTCCTGCTGTACTGGAGAGGAATGAAGAGGCACGAGTCTATCATGCTGAGAACTCATATCTTTATAAAAGTTCAGTGTTGTTACAGACCAAATATAACACATAACATTAAATACATATTTTTCATCAGGTTAGATATTATCACTCAAACCCCTTTCTCTACCTGTCCGTCTGTCTCACCTCTCTGCCTTGTTTGTAGTTTAACACTTTTTATCTGTGATTTGCTAATCGAATCCTCGTCCACCGCGCGGTGTTGTGGGCAATGTTAGCCGTTAGTGTGCACGGATCTGCACTTCGAATTTCTGCCGGAAAGAGTAAACCATCCGGGCACTTGTGGCATACTCATGTCAACATACTATGATTTGGGACACAGCAAGTCTAATTTGGAGTATTTAGGACGGCTAGTATGTGCACTGTGTCGCAGCATCAGTCTGCTCTGTGTTGTAGAGTATGTGGGCTACAGCACAGACCTGGTGACGCCGATCATCAGACGCTACGAGACGCTCACCATCAGCCGACAGGACCTCCTGCAGCAGTTATCCAGCCTGACGGAGCAGATGAAGGCCAGCCAGAACAGCCTGGAGTCCCGCAGACAGGAGCACAGCACCTTCAAACTGGTATGTGATTCATTCAGCTTCAGAAGAGCTGGAGACATTCAGACTGAGGTTTGTTGCTTGGGCTCTTTCCCACTGAGAATGGGCAACAGATGTGTCTGGGTACTTTAGATCGGCCGAGGCCCTGTCTCACACCTGGTTGCCCAGAAGCAGCTTCTCAAAGTTTCCCGTGTATCACAGGCATAACTGATGTGTGGTGTGTTTCTGTGGCAGATGACAAACCAGGAGCTGTCCGAGCGGCAGACACAGCTAGATCAACTGAAAGAGAAGAACAAACAGCTGGAGATGATGCTCCACATGCACCTGAGCCAGTCCAGAGACCAGGTGTGCTGGAAACATCAGTGCACTAAACACTAGATCAGTGCCACGCGTAGTTACAGGTTTTGAAGAGTCTTAACAGCATGTTGTCATTAGTCTGAATCACGTGCTCTTCACTCACTTCTCGTCCAGTTGAACCGCTGTCCCATCAGGTGTTTAAGCAGGGATGGTTTAGTCTTCCTTGCTGCTTGTCATTGTGATGTAAATCTGGAGGTTCGTGTGTGATGCTGTGATTGGTGTGTGGTAGGTGGAGGAGGACGGGAACATCTTGATGGCGGTGAAGAGCCTCGCGGAGCAGTGTTACCTGAGTCACTACAGAGCTCTAGACCTCATGGACACATCCACCATGATGGACATGATAAAGGTGACTGATCAGTTATACAGCACATGATCAGAAACAAAGTCAAGAGCGCGTTTCTCGTTCCTCTCCTGCTTTCAAAGGAATTCATCGTGGAGAAAGCTGACATGGAGAGGAGAGCCATGAGACTCATGGCCAGCAGCGGAGCGACTGTGAAGAGGAGGACACCGAAGAAGAGCTCGTCCAGCAGAAGCGGAGTGCAGATGCTGCTGTAGATCACCACCGCTCTCCTGCTGCGCTTCAGTCCGTCTCAATCCAGCCAGACCCCGAGAGCGGGCTCAGGACACACATTCAGCTCAGCACATCTGCTTACAGCAACATTTCTCATCACACACACACACACACACTCGTGTTTATGGAGCACGAGTCTGGATCAATAAGAGATTAAACTCAAGACATGCATTAAAGAGATGATCAAACACTTCTGCTCAAATGTTTTTATTCAACTTGAAAATAACTGGTTTATCAGTAATTCTGTGAAATCGTTTCAAAAATTATTTCATAAACAGTGTGATGTTTCAGTTCAATCTGAAGCTCATTTTTACAATTTTAAACCATCAGCAGAAGAAAATCAAATGACATGAGAGTAAAAGCTTTGGGTGAAACGCACACGTAGAAAAACTGGCAGATTTAACACTAAACAAGTCATTAAAATGTAGAACAATATGGGAAAATAAATGCACATACATTTTGGATTCCAATTAAAGTTTTTTCACTATGCGACAGAAAAGTTCTATAGTTCATTATTGCATGCACAGACGTGTGCTTCCTAACCCTGCTCCTGAGACACAGCAGCAGCACAGGTCTGTCAGGAGCGGACCCTGTGCTAGCGCGGGACTGTGTCGCGGCTCAGGCTGCTCAGCGCCGTGTCAGCTGTGCTCAGGGGCAGCTGCAGCTTGCCCATCTGTGTGGGGTACTTGGTCTTCATCTGGTGTGTGAACACTGGCTGCGCGATCAGCTGCTTGAGCTGCTTCTTCAGGCTCCTGATTAACCTCTGCTGCTCTCGCTCCTCGTCCTCGTCCTCACCGCCTCCTGAAACACAGAGCAGAGCACATGAGGCAGAGCTCCTGCTCCAAACACGGCTCGGTGACGCGGAGCGGAGCAGAGCTCGTACCCAGCAGCAGGTCATCGTCCACGTCGATCTCCAGCGCCTCGGACGCCTGCCGCACCCACGAGTTGTGCTGCTTCTCTCGGCTGTGGAAGTACTCCATCTTCTCGATCTTCCGGGCCAGAGTCACGCGCTCCTGTCGAGGAGAAACAAGCCTGTGAAGCGCAGCACTGCTGGCTATCTTTACAGTCATCAGCACCGAGAAAGCTCTCGGACAACTCAGAGATTATGAGCATCTTATTTGTGTCCCTGCAGCACAGAAGCAGTGTTGAGTCGCTGGGGGATATTTGTAGCAATAGCCAACAATACATTGTATGGGTCACAATTATACATTTCTCTTTTATGACAAAAATCATTAGGATATTAAGTAAAGATCATGTTGTAAATTTCTTACCGTAAATATCAAAACTTCATTTTTGATTAGTAATATGCATTGCTAAGAACTTCATTTGAACAACTTTAAAGATGATTTTCTCAATATTTAGATTTTTTTGCACGCTCAGATTCCAGATTTTCAAATAGTTGTATCTCAGCCAAATATTGTCCTATCCTAACAAACCATACATCAATGGAAAGATTATTATTCAGCTTTCAGATGATCTATACATCTCAATTTCGAAAAATTGACCCTTATGACTGGTTTTGTGCTCCAGGGTCACGTATTTGAAGCAACAGCTTAAAGATGATAAGGAGGACACATGATTTTTTGTAAAAATATTGTGCACTGATAAATCATAAGCACTGCAATATTTCATAATAAGAGAGCCGTTTCACAACGATTGACAACAGCAACCTAGAGAAGTGTTTGAGATTTTCTTTAAATGTAGATGTGTAACGCAGTTTTTTCATCCGGTCATTAATAACAAATGAAGTAGTTAGTGCTGCTGTTTAACACACCAGCTGCGGGAGCGGTCCTCTCGTCTGACCGCTCTCATCAAGCCATGCTTCCTCTTTTGGAAAGTTATATAAATGCTTTGGTGGATTTTCTTTTTTCATTTGTTGTCGAGGCAAGTGGGAATGTAAATATGATATTTATTATAACGTGGCTGAAGACAGACGTGTGAGAAAGCATGTTCATATCCAGACACATATCTCGGCAGGTGTTTTAAGGCCATGTCATCTTCCTCGGCTATCTTCATGGCTAGGAACAAGTTCAAATACTATTAAAGAGCCATTTGAAAACATATATCAGGTTTTTAACTTTGCGGTATCATATGATTCCTTAAGAGAACCTAACCAGCACAATATAATAAAACACGAGTCTGGGGATACTGAGGAGCATATCGTGTGTGTGTGTGATTCTGGAATATCTGTATATATATATATATATATATATATATATAAATAAAATACAGATGCGACTTTCATCCACAGTGGGGTTCATGTCATACAGTTTGTTCACAACAAGAACAATAGCTATAAAAACAGCTACAATGATAACTATATCAGCGACGATATGGTTTATTATAATCGTGCTGCAACTTTAAATGCTGGAGCTCTTGCGAGCAGGATTCTGATTGGCTGTCAGATGAAATAACCGTCTGGAAGTCGCTACAGCTGTGGTGTGGACGCATGATTCCAGCGGTTGCTGTACCTTGACGGCGCTCATGCAGTGGCTCTGCACGGGAAACACCGGCAGCTCCTCGCTCTTCTGCAGGGTTCTGCAGATCTTCTTGTAGTTCATCAGGTCGTCAGGCCCGATCAGCAGCAGACTCAGGCCCTCTCTGGCGGCGCGGGCGGTTCGGCCGCTGCGGTGGACGTATGTCTCAGACGTGCGAGGAACCTGAACCCGACAGAGACACAGAGCTGCTGAGAAGCTCCTGAACTCAGAGCGACTGACCGAAGCGGAGTCTCTTACCTGATAGTGTATGACATGCTGAACGTTAGGGATGTCCAGGCCTCGAGCAGCGACGTCAGTGGTGAGGAGAACACAGCTGAGAGAGGACAGAGAGGACAGGAGTCAGTGCGCGCACACACACACACACACACACACTCTCTAACACACACACACACACACACACACACACACACACACACACACACACTCTCTAACACACACACACACACACACACACACACACACACACACACACACACTCTCTCACTCACACACACACACACCACATCATTACATCTCCCTGCATAACCATCAGCTCTGGACATATGGCCACTGCAGACTAAAACATACCTCTCAAAGTAATAATGATTACATTTTTAACCAGGTTTTGTTTTTATTCATGTTTTAATTTATACAGTTCAGTTGTGCAGCATCTTATTTAAGAAAAACAAAATGCAAGGCTTTGTTGTAGACTGTTATACGTTCATCTGAGTACACTTTAAAAGATTGATTAACTTGTTAAAGTTTCATTATAAAGCGGAGAGTTCCGGTGCTTGACTCTGATTGGCTGAGCCGCGTTCGAAGCTGTTGTAAATGACGCTACAAAGTAACACACAGCTTTGTTTACGTTTGTGTGTTGCTCGGCAACCACTTTGTAGCAACCACAACTGTTTCTGAGGAGCTACATTGTTTGGTGGAAGAATACTGTGTTTATTAATATCATTACACTTTATTTGCTCCGTTTTATTTTGTGAGACCTTACTACGTATATAACCGTTTTATAAAAGCAGTAACCCCCGTGAAGACGTGGTTTACAGTGAATTTATAACAGCTAAGTGGGTTTTCTCCACTTCGTGTCGTAACTAACAACGCCCCTTAGCTGTTATAAATTCACTGTAAACCACGGCTTCACGGGGGTTACTGCTTTATTAATTCATTCCTATAGACACCATTTTTTGATGCCAAATTTGGTTGAAGTCATAAAACACAGAATTCTGAAGTTAAATGCATTTCATGGGCCCTAAATGAAAGTATCTTACTGCGGTTCTGTAGTCAGCGTGAAGAGGCTTAGTCCACTAAAATGCTAGTCGCTTGCCTTACAGACATGAGGAATATATCTGCAGGAAGCTTGAGATGTCTGCTTTACAATGAACCAGCCGCTACTGAAAACAAAAACTCTCCGATTATATAATCCGTACGAAAGGTGCGTCACTGCACTGCATCATCGACTTCATCTCTTCAGCCGACAACGACTCGGCTAGTTAAATCATTCAGACATCTCCTCGTCGTTACTTTTGCCAGTGCTTTGTGACAAGCTTCACGCATGCGTCTAATTACTGTAAACGTGCAATTAGTCAACTAATCACACATTTAGTCAACTAGAAAACCGTTTAGTTTAGTCAGGAGCAGCCCTTCTGTGGTGTTTAATGTGAACAAACTAGTTATGTTTTACATTTCCTGTTAGTAGTAAATCATCATCATGATATGGAATAATACCCAGCCCAGCCGTGACTGAGACAGCAGGAGCACAGAGCTCTCCCTCACCTGTCCTTCTCGGCGAAGCGCTCCAGGTTCTTCAGACGCTGCTTCTGGTGCATGTTAGCGTGCAGCGGCAGAGGAGCGCAGTCCAGGATCAGCAGCAGCGCGCTCAGACGCTTGATGCAGTCGATGCTGTTGGCGAACACCATGCTGCGGCCGGGATACTGCAGCAGGAAGTAGTACAGGAACAGGTCCTTCTCCTCCTTGGTGCAGTTGATGCGGGTCTCCGTCAGCGTCTCCACCGTGGCCTGCTTGCGCGTCAGGTCGATGACTTTGGGCTTGTCTTTGATGCCCACCTTCTCCATCAGGAGCTGCAGTTTGCTGCGCTCGGTGCGCTTGCGCTTCTTCTGCTGCAGGCGCGCCGGCAGGCTGTGCTCCAGCGTCAGCGTGGCCGAGAACACGAACGTCTGTCTGCTGGGGTTGAACTGGGACGTGTTGAGCATCTCCAGCAGGTTCTCCAGCTCCGCGAAGTGGCCCTTCTCCACCATGCGGTCGGCCTCGTCGATCACCAGACACCTGAGGAGATAAAGCAGAGCGGCTCAGCGTGTGAAGGCAGTGGTGTGCGTGCCGGAGAGGAGGGACGCACCGCAGCTGGCGCAGGTTCTGCAGGTGCGGGTGTTTCTCTCGGATCATCTCCCACAGGCGTCCCGGTGTGCCGATGACGATCTCCGGCCGGTGCATCAGCACACGCTGCTGTTTCTGCGGAGCCATCCCGCCAACCACGATCGCCGTCTTAACACCTGCGCAACGACACGTCAACAGGTCAACCACACTGATCTACATGATCACAATCAGTCACAACCACGAGCATCAGATGAACAGAACACGGCTTTCAGACGCTGTTCAGTCTATCTGGAGACAATGGTGTAAGAGTTTGTTTAATAGCACAAGTAGTGTGTACAGGTCATTTTCTGTCACTGAATATTATGTATAGAAAAGAGTGCAGGTTTGAGGTTTAGTGGGGACAGAAGCAAAGCTTCATAAAAGCACTTCCTTTAGTGTTGATATTGTTGAGTTTTCCTCATTCTTTCAGGCTGTGTTCACACTCTGGTGCGACTGCTCATGTAATCAGTGTGAACGCTGCCATTCAAGCCTTACAGCAACACCAAACCGAGACCCAGCGTTTCAGACTCTGGAGTGCTTCACCTTCTGTATGAATGAAGCACGGACCAAACATCGAAACAAACCAAATACAGGATGTGACCAGATCCAGATGCACTTTGATCTTTATCTTTTGTGTCAGTGTTAAGAATGACAGTGTGAACACTAAACGAACCAAGAGCAAGAGAACCGAACTACAAGTGTGAACACACTTAGATTAGCAGCAGTGAGTTAAAGAGGGCAAACTTTAGCATTTCAATGAGCTGCACACGTGCTTTTCTAACACTAATGCTGTTTTTGCTCTGTGCATTTCAATAAAGAAAGTATTAATAACAATAAATTAATGAGTGGGGTTACTTTAACTGCTCAGGTAAGGACTCATTTCAGATGTGGGCAGTAATAGGAATTAAGATCAGCCAGAGCTGTAGAGGGATCAGGAGTGGAGGACGCTCTAGTAATCAGCTTTAACTCGGGTAACGTCCATCAGCACACACTGACCGGTGAAGCGGGCCACAGCGTCGATGTGGTGTTTGACCTGCACAGCCAGCTCTCTGGTGGGAGTGAGGACCAGGCCGAGCAGCGGCGGCTTGTGTGTGTGCGTCTGTGTTTGACGAGCTGTAACATCATCAGTCTCCTCCTCCTCCTCCTCCTGCGGCGGCTCAGTGTCTCCACTCGTCTCCTCCGCTGGACTGCCGTCTGTCATCTCGCTGACCGCGGGCAGGTACAGGCTCTCCACACACACCTCTGTGTCTTCAGTCTTCCGTTCACCTTCTGACGCTTTCCTCCACTCCAGAACAGCGTGGATCATCGGAATACCGAAACACAGCGTCTTCCCGCTGCCTGCAGAGAACACACACACAGACTGAGAATCACTGACTGTGCATGACACAAACGACCCACACCGTGACGAGTGTTTGTGTGTGTCAGTGTGTATGTGAGTGAGTGAGTGTACGTGTGCGTGTGTGAGTGAGTGTACGTGTGTGAGTGTCAGTGTGTGTGTGAGTGAGTGTATGTGTGTGAGTGTACGTACGTGTGTGTGAGTGTGAGAGTGTCAGTGTGTATGTGAGTGAGTGAGTGTACGTGTGTGTGTGAGTGTACGTACGTGTGTGAGTGTGTGTGTGTGTGTGAGTGTACGTATGCGAGTGTGAGAGTGTCAGTGTGTGAGAGTGTCAGTGTGTATGTGAGTGAGTGAGTGTACGTGTGTGAGTGAGTGTACGTACGTGTGTGAGTGTGTGTGTGTGAGTGTACGTATGCGAGTGTGAGAGTGTCAGTGTGTGAGAGGTGAGTGTGTGTGTGTGAGTGAGTGTACGTGTGTGAGTGTGCGTGCGTGTGTGTGTGAGTGTACGTACGTGTGTGTGTGAGTGTACGTACGTGTGTGAGTGAGTGTACGTATGTGAGTGTCAGTGTGTGTGAGAGTGTCAGTGTGTATGTGAGTGAGTGAGTGTACGTGTGTGAGTGAGTGTACGTATGTGAGTGTCAGTGTGTGTGAGAGTGTCAGTGTGCGTGTTACTGTGTGCGCGTGTGAGTGAGCGCGTGTAAGCGTGTGTGAGAGAGCGAGTAAGTGTGTGTGAGCGAGCGAGTAAGTGTGTGTGTGAGAGAGCGTGTAAGTGTGTGTGTGAGAGAGCGTGTAAGTGTGTGTGTGAGAGAGCGTGTAAGTGTGTGTGTGAGAGAGCGTGTAAGTGTGTGTGTGAGAGAGCGTGTAAGTGTGTGTGTGAGAGAGCGTGTAAGTGTGTGTGTGAGAGAGCGTGTAAGTGTGTGTGTGAGAGAGCGTGTAAGTGTGTGTGTGAGAGAGCGTGTGAGTGTGTGTGTGAGTGAGTGAGTGTACGTGTGTGAGTGTACGTACGTGTGTGTGTGAGTGTACGTACGTGTGTGAGTGTATGTGTGTAAGTGTGTGTGAGAGTGTCAGTGTGCGTGTTACTGTGTGCGCGTGTGAGTGAGCGCGTGTAAGTGTGTGTGAGAGAGCGAGTAAGTGTGTGTGTGAGTGAGTGAGTGTACGTGTGTGTGTGAGTGTATGTACGTGTGTGAGTGTGTGTGTGTGAGTGTACGTATGCGAGTGTGAGAGTGTCAGTGTGTGTGAGAGTGTCAGTGTGTATGTGAGTGAGTGAGTGTACGTGTGTGAGTGAGTGTACGTGTGTGAGTGTACGTACGTGTGAGAGTGTCAGTGTGCGTGTTACTGTGTGCGCGTGTGAGTGAGCGCGTGTAAGTGTGTGTGAGAGAGCGAGTAAGTGTGTGTGTGAGCGAGCGAGTAAGTGTGTGTGTGTGTGTGTGAGCGAGCGTGCAAGTGTGTGTGTGTGAGCGAGCGTGTACGTGTGTGTGTGTGAGCGAGCGTGTACGTGTGTGTGTGTGAGCGAGCGTGTACGTGTGTGTGTGTGAGCGAGCGTGTACGTGTGTGTGTGTGAGCGAGCGTGTACGTGTGTGTGTGTGAGCGAGCGTGTACGTGTGTGTGAGAGCGTGTAAGTGTGTGTGTGAGAGAGCGTGTAAGTGTGTGTGTGAGAGAGCGTGTAAGTGTGTGTGTGAGAGAGCGTGTAAGTGTGTGTGTGAGAGAGCGTGTAAGTGTGTGTGTGAGAGAGCGTGTAAGTGTGTGTGTGAGAGAGCGTGTAAGTGTGTGTGTGAGAGAGCGTGTAAGTGTGTGTGTGAGAGAGCGTGTAAGTGTGTGTGTGAGAGAGCGTGTAAGTGTGTGTGTGAGAGCGAGTAAGTGTGTGTGTGTGTGTGTGCGAGCGAGCAAGTGTGTGTGTGTGTGAGCGAGCGTGTAAGTGTGTGAGAGTGTGTATGTGTGTGTGTGAGAGAGCGTGTAAGTGTGTGTGTG